GAGATAATTGCGAATGACGAGGGCAAACAGCTCACGCCATCTTGTGTGCGTTTCAGCTCCGCAGGCCGCTATGTGGGCGAAGCAGCTACCGTGGTTGAGGCCGATTGCTCAAGTGAGGAAGAGAGGTCGACGTTTGTGTACGAGATTAAACGATTGATTGGGAAGGAGTTCGACGATCCGAGCGTTCAGGAGCTTATTGACGGATGGCCGTTCCAAGTGGTGAGAGGGCCAAGAGGGGAGCCGCTTCTCCCTGTGAGCGCGAAGACCAGCGGCACCCGCAGCTTGTCTTCGTCTACATCGAAGCTGACGCCGGAAGAGATATCAGCCAGGCTGCTGAGGTACTGCAAGAAAATGGCGGAGGACCGCCTCGGCTGCGAGGTGAGGAACGCCGTGATCACTGTCCCCGCATACTTCAACGATTCTCAGAGACAAGCCACGCGAGATGCTGGGCAGATTGCGAGACTGAATGTTCTACGCTTGGCTAATGAGCCGACAGCAGGCGCGCTAGCTTACGCACACAGACGCCAAGTTGAAGGTGGACGCCATAGCCAGAACTCGGAAGCTCAAGGCGAGGAAGGCAAGGAAGGGGAGAAGGAGAACCTGCTTGTGTTCGATCTGGGCGGAGGGACGTTCGACGTCTCCCTCGTGGAGATCGCAGATGGAAGACTTACAGTCAAAGCTCTGGCGGGGGACACTCGCCTCGGTGGAGCGGACTTCGACAAAAGATTGATTGACTATTTTCTGCAGCAGTTCGAAGCGGAGCACGGCGAGCTAGGGAGGGCGGCAGATGTTCGGGCCAATACCCGGAGCATGAGAGAGCTGAGGAAAGCGTGCGTGCACGCAAAAGAGGCGTTGTCGTCGAGTGAAGTGGTTGGTGTTGGCATTCGAGACTTCTTCAACGGCCTCGAACTTAAGAGGGCAGGTCTAACTCGAGCGACTTTCGAAGAAATAAACAAGGACCTATTCGAGAGATGCATGTTCCACGTGGCTAAAGTGCTCAAGGAATCGAGGATGAGTATGGAAGACGTCTCCCAGGTGGTGCTCGTTGGGGGCTCGACGAGGATTCCCCGCGTTAAGCAGATGCTGAGAGAGTTCTTCGGTGATCGGGAGCCAATCACCCCTCTCAATCCGGACGAGGCAGTTGCGTACGGTGCAGCACTCTATGCCGCCATGATGATGGGGGAGAAGTCAGACGATCTACCTCAACTAATCCCCATGGATGTTCTCCCTCTTTCTCTGGGAGTGGACTTGACGTCTGGGGAGATGAGGACTATAATACCCAAGAACTCAGCCATCCCGGCGACGGGGAGCTGTGTGCTGGCAACTAGTCGCGACAATCAGACTCGAATGCGCTTCCCTGTGTACGAGGGGGAGGCGCAGATGACGAGAGATAACCACTACCTTGGTGAGTTCACGCTGGATGGATTCGAGCCGGCGCCCAAGGGTGAAGCATCCACAGAAGTTACGTTCCGTGTTGATGAGAGCGGCATCGTCCAGGCCACAGCGCGCGCCCTCTCTCTCAATTTCACTCCGGATAAAGAGTCTACCATCACGATAAGCGCAAACAAAGGAAGATTGACAGACGAACAGGTCCATGACATGATGCTAAACGAGATCACCCTCGCGGAGGACGACGTAGAGGAAGGGGAACAGTGAGCGAAAATGGGAGATCTCGTTACTTGGTGTGTGTAACGAGCTGAGTCTATTAGGAAGTAATAGGAAGGACATGCCGTGGCTGCTGCGAAGATACGGCAGTTGACCTTGAAGACGTGTGTAGGTGTATGTGAGTAGATGGCGTTTGACTTTGAAGGAGGAGAGAGGAGGGAGAATCGGAGAGAGAGGAAGGAGAATCGAGATGCAGCATCCCGCCCACGTGTAGGACTGTACAGTCTGTCGAACAGGCCACCTATGCATGTGGGTTGAGCACGTGCTTTTAAACGTGGAACATGAACGACTTAATGCGCTCACCTAGGCATACATCCGAGATCACCGTGGTGGAGGAGGAGAGAGAGGAAGGGGACGAGTGTGGAAAGATGGTAGGTAGTTTGCGGCTGCGTTAGGAGATGAGATGAGTAGGAGCTTGACTTGGTTGCTCTGAAGATACAGGGCTTCACGTTCTTGTGGATTGTTGTAGTGTGCCAAGATATTTCTGACGACCTGTACTCTGATTTTGATGGGATGTCGGGTCCCCAGGCACTAGCAGGTGAGACTCCGCACTACAAATAGATAGAGCCTCGTGAGGAGCAGGGCAGATCTGATAGCCTGTTGGGGGGAGGACCCGCTTACAGGGATTCTACAACGAAGGCCGCAGATTTCTCAACGATCAACGGCCACAAACGGAGTCCAGGTAGATGGGACCTTGCCCTGGGGTTACCTCAGGACGGTGGACTCCCGCCGACTTTAGTGACCGACCAGTTTTAGGAGACTCGCTGTAGATTTTCGGCGTTTCCCCTGCGAGTAACCGACGTCCGACGAGTTAAGGAGAGTTTCTGTAGATATGTGTGTGCTTTTCTATCTGTTCGGTTTTGTGACGATGTATTCTCTCCGAGAAATGGTAGCCTTCATTTCGATGGATGTCGTGCGCGGTTTTAAAGGCCCACTTTCCCACTATACATTTCTGATACAGTCCAAAGTTCTCCAAACAGGGAAAAGAAGCCCCGAAAGAGTCTTTTTTTAATGGTTTTTTTGTTTTTTTTGCCCCCGAAGAGTCTTTTTTTAGGTTTTTTTTTTTTTTTTTTTTTGAACCTCTTCTATTTTTGGTAATTTTCTTGTGGTTGAGGACGGCATTGTCTGGTAAATTGCTATAGCTCATTCCGAAGTGTGACACTCCCATCCTCGTCGTTCTACATCTTCTACTCATAGTACTCAGATGTTTTCAAGTTTTGTACCAAACGTTTGAAGTCACGTCACATTGAGTGGGAGGGATAGGGAGCAATCAAGAACCCAGCAATGCTCCATTGAGTCCATTGTCCCTTTGAGCTCCTTTTCCTTCGTTTCTTTTCAGAAAATTATGCATGCCATCATCTGGGGATTCTGCGCTGCGTCAGTGCTTATTACTACTGTAGGTCTGCTGCCCGCCTGCTTAAGCGCCCCTGGAAGTTGGGAACCAGATGAGAATAAATATGTGTGTTATGTGGAGCTTTGTGGCAGAAAAGGGCAAGACCTCGAGCTTTGTCAGGTTTTTTTTTTTTTTTTTTTTTTTTTTTTTTCATGTCGATGTTGAAAATTGCATGGTAATTTGCCTACTCAATTGAGATGACGGTAGTAGGGAGCCAAAGGTCTATGATCAGCTGCAATGTTTTTTTCTTTTTTTTTTTTGGAAGAACAATCGGCCGCTGCTAGCTGGGTGATAACAGCAACCCATCTTAGCAGTGCCCCCTGTTGACCCCTCTCTATTGATAGAGAGCATTGCAACACCTGCTGCTGGAAAACGGGTCCAGCGTCTCTTGGACAGTCTAAAGAGTCTGATGAATCCAGGCTATAGCCTCTCTTCCCCGCCAACTTTGATTACCCTGAATGCTCCAGGGGATTGACTGCGCGCTGGTTGAGAAGGCTACAAAGGAAGCCTCTTCAATCTGAAACAGATGGCCAAAAAAAAGCATGCCCTTCGCCGTGCTACCCTTTCCCCCCTAAACCGCTTAACGTCCTTCCTGCTAAACTTCTCGCCCCGTAGATCTCTCTACATCACAGCTCAGTCCAACTCATACCACTGCACCTCAACCAGATATCAGCTGCAATGTCAGTATGCGTCTCGTACGGGTTTTCCTTTTGAATTTGTTTTCGCTCAGAATAGTCGTTTTCCTGCATGTGCGATGCTACTCTGTGTCCAATTCATGCAACACAACTCTGCAATGATGCCGTATTTCGCATTGACAATGTTTACAAATCAGAAAGAAATGGAATAAGATTGAGCGCGTGCGCCAGAAAACACTTTGAGGGCCTTTGAGCGCGGGGGAAGGGTTAAGCACGCGCGCTCTCTCACAAGAGCGCTCATACGGTTTCACAGAGGAAAAATGACCGAACGTTGTGTCCAGGTGACGATGGTAGCTAGACGATCGTAGCTATACGATAGATTATACCATCCGATCTCCTTTCGACATAGCCTCCGTCCGCCCTCCGACTGGAGGAAGTCTATGTCCAATTGCAACCGCCACAGAGGCCACCTTGATGCAGAGCAGCAGAGTCAACCAGGAGGACTAACAGGGTGCAGGCAGTATATGCGGAAATCCGGGATCAAAAGCTGAGGACTAAAGCTTATTTCCTTAACTTGTTCCTAACTCAATATACACAGTAACACAGCAAAAAAGTGGCCACCCTGAAAGAACAGGTCGCAAAATATTATTCATCCGTTCGCTCGGGTGTTGTGCATAATTCAAATCAATAGGTCGAATTGCACTCCAAAGAATAAGACCACGTGGAAGTCGCATTATTAAAAGGGCCTTTACCCGATTCAGACCCTGTTTGACGAATGCAGCATAGTGGGGTCACTTACTCTCCCAGGCCCCAACTCGTGAAAACAGATCAAAGGACATGTTCTCTGGGTCAAAAGTCACATCCTAGCTAAGTAAAAGTCAATGTCAAAGGTCACAGTTGTGCCCCTGGACGAACAGTTGCAATATTCGGATATGGGAGTGACCTCTGTTTATCCAGGGGGTGTGCAAGTCATGTTTGTTCATGCAGGAAATGTGTCTGTACGGGCAGTATGTGTGTCTGTTCGTACAAAATGTGTCTGTTCAGGCAGTAGGTGTGCCTCTTCAAACAGAAGTCAAAAGGTTAAGTCCCAGTCACGAATTAAGTCAGAGGGAGAGTCTAGATAGAGGCCCCAAGTCTGAAATTCAGGCCTGAAGGCCGCAGCAGCAGCAGACCTTGAGGGAAAGGTACTGGGACGCACTCTACACAGCCTGGGACAGGGAAAAGAGTTCCAAGGGAGGCTGATTCAGGCCTCGCAAGGCCATGCCATTTGTATAAAGGAGCAGACCAGCCTCCCACAAGACAGATCTCCAGTAGCATTCATGCGTGGAAGTGTTGTAGGCACTTGTGCGCTAGCATGCAGAGGAAGAGAGCTGGCTTGATGCTGCGCAAGGGAGAGAGATGCTGGGTGCTGGCTTGCTGAAGCAGCCATAGCTACGCCAGCCTGTGTTAGTAGTAGAACTGACAGAGTTAGTACATCAGTGAGTAGTATTCAGAGTAGATCCTCATGTGTTAGGGAGGGTGCGTAGATGATGTGTGAGTAGAAGGAAGACCAGGGCTACTGCATTGGGACAAATGGAGAGAGAGAAGACATACAGAGAGAGAGAGAGGAAGGACAGGGGGAAGTGAAAGTCTTGGAGACACTTACCTGATAAGCACCATGCTCTGATGAGGGCAGAAGACTTGCGATCCTGTTCGGCGTTGGTCATCTTGAACCTGTGAAAGACTCTCTTAATCTGGTTAATATAATTTGAGTGGAGTTCCTTGGTCTCGTTCATCTCTCATTGAAGCTTTGTGTGAGCTATTGTGATTCTGTACAATGTGTGTGAATGTATGATATCTGGCGCACTCCAGCAAGTGATAACAGACGGGTTCGTTGCAAATTTAATATCGGAGCAGAACTCGTTGCTCTCACTAAGGCACTGGCATGAGTAAGGCTGGCAAGAGAGATATGCTGGCTCGAAGAATGCTGGCTATGGTGGAAACCTAAGAGGTGTGCGTTGTGGATTGGGATAAGGAGAGGGGAAGCAGGCCGAAGAGAAAGGGGCAAAGGAAAGGGTCTTACCTGCGCGTGGAGCGTGGAGCGTGGAGCGTGGAGCATGGAGCGATCGAGGAGCCTTCATCGACGTCCGCAAGGAAGAGAAGAACTCTTACCCCTTACCTAGCTGTGTGTGGAGTTATGTCGAGTACCTTATTCTACCCCTCCTCTCTGGTGGTCGCTCCTGCTGTTGTCTGTCCACATCTGGTCCGGTCTATGGTCAGGGGGCGAAAGTTTGGTCAAGTCAGAGTCGATAGCAGGTCAGAGTCATTATCTGGTTCTACATCCTTGACATCTGGTCTGACGTCTGTGCTAAGTGGTAGGAAAGGTAGGAGTAGGCTGTGGGCATGAAGGCAGATTGCCACGTCAGATAGCATATGAGTCATAAGGCAATAAATGAACAAGGCAATAAATGAACAAAGGCAAAGTTGACTCGCGAAGGGAGTATCGCCTATGCATCTGACACTGTGTAAGCTCCAGCTTGGTCCTGCGCAGAAGACCAGTACGTTAGTTAAAGAAAAAAAAGAAGGAATAGAAATAAAAACGGGACAGGGGTCACAGGGCCAGATAAGTATAAGTACAACCAAAGCATATTGACATTGAAGACAGGCAGCAAGCAAAGTAAGAAAGAGGGGAAAAAAATAACTTAAAGTTTTATTTTCTGATTTTCGTTACTTCTAAGACAGCGGCATCTAGAGTTTTTTAAATAAAAAAAAACTCAAACAAAGCATATCCCATCCACGTGGCAGACAAGTAGGACAAGAGGGGAACTCTTACCTGGTGGGACAGCGGAGGGGTACCTGCGCTGCACCCCATCATGGACAACTACAACATGCAAGGCATTATGGCCCTCTCGGTGTTAATGGGCTTACTCTTCAAACTCTTCTTTCCCCTAGGCTTCGAGAGAGTGTGTAGCTCCCGTATGCTGATGAGGTCAGGTACTGTGAAGCCAAGGCCCACACCTGAAGAACAGGCTGAAGTGGAACACCGCCAGACTGAAAAGAAGAAAAAAAAAAAACAGAAAGAAGAAGAGATACAAAAGAAAGTGCAGATAGAAGAAGAGAATGAAGAGAGAAATGAGAGAAAAGTTGGAAAGAGAATTGAAAGAAGAATTGCGGACTATAGAAGAAGAAGAAGAGCCCGAGGATGAAGGAGACGGGCTCATCAGGGGGCAAACGGAAAGGGAGAGACTAGCCAATCAGTTGGGGAACTCCAGATTAAACCGCTGGCTTGGTATGACCAATATGTCTATTCCAGCGA